CAACATAGTGAGACCCTGTCTCTACAAGAAAATAAAATAAAAATTAGAGGAGCATAGTGCCACATGTCTACAGTCCCAGCTACTCAGGAGGCTGAGGTGGGAGGATTGCTTGAGCCCAGGAGTTCAAGGCTGCAGTAAGCTATGAGCTATGATTGTGCCACTGCACTCCAGCCTGGGCGACAGAGCAAAACCCTGTCTCAAAAAATAATAATAAAGATAAATCATATGATTAGCAAAAAGTGATAGTCTTCTTTATCAATGTTTATATTATTTCATTTTTATTGCATTTTTAACACTCCAATACTATGGAGATAACGGACTAGTTCTTTATTTAATAAAAATTAACATTTTGCCATGTAAGAAATTTGCTTTCAGTGTTTGATAAAGAATTTTTATTATATTTAAGTAATTTGCTTTTATGCCTATTTTATTAGGGCCATTATTAGGAAAGTCTAAAATTTTTACTGAATTTCTTTTTAGCATATATTAATATGATAAGCAGTTTTGTTCCTGTTTTTTGTTCATATGGACTAACAGATCTGATGTTAACACCCGCTTATATTCCTGGACAAAATTCTACCTGATTATAGAATAGCAAAGTTATAATTTCTGAGTTGCACATTTTTTTTTCACATTTTAACATGCCTGAAATTGGGTCATGCATTACACCTAGTGGTGTCCTGTGATTGCTATTATAGGTAACAGATGTGACAGTTGTCATTGCCTACACACCTCAATGTCCTCATAGCTGCTTAGACTGTTGACCCTTCAGTTGAGTTATGGACTTTGCTTATAAGCCAGGAGTTGACTTTAACTGCTCTATGAAATCATCTAGGGCTAGGTGCAGTGGCTCACGCCTGTAATCCCAATACATTGGGAGGCTAAAAGTAGAGGGTTGCATGAGTCCAGAAGTTTGAGACCAGCCTGGGCAACATGGCAAGACTCCATCTCTAATTTTTTTTTAAAGTAAAATCTTCTAAAATATTGCACCATGATATGGCACTGAAATGAAAAAGTTATTGCAAATGCATAAATTCTTAAAATCAAAGCAGTGGAACATAAATTTGATATTAGTAAAACAACTTTTGTTAGAGGAATTACTTCATTTGCAAAGCAACAACTGAGACACTTCTGGAACCAAGGAAAGCTGTACATACACACACAAATGAAGTCTATTATGTTTTGCTATTGAGAAACACACAAAAGAATTGCAATGCACTGGAAAAGGTGCCAAATCTCTTGAAATGGAGAAAAGAGATCCCAAAGCAATGCAAATTTATTGTCATCAATTCACTTGTTTTGAAGGACTATCATTAAGATGTCAAACAACTTTTTGTCAAAAACTTCTGCTGATGTTGAGCAGAAGACTCTATGGAGCACCTTTTAAAGACGTGTTGTATCACCAGTGTTTCTGGTGATCAAAGGATAATATTGTGTGACAAATTCAGAAATCAGCAACTCTAACAATAGTTAAAAAAAAAGTTGGGCTTTGAACGTGAAGATATCTAAGGAATGACTTATCATGTTCGTTTCACTTATATTTTTCTTTCTAAGTGTGCACACAGTGATATATGAGATGGGAATGAATCCAGACGTAGACCAGAGTGCAGTAGTACCCTGGCCACAATGACTGGCCAATCAGTATGAGGCTCTGAGCTTTGTTCACTTTTTAGTCTAACTGCCCTTTCCCCATGCTGGATCCTAGGAGTCATCTATTACCATAGGGAGAACCATCCTTAATATGAAGCCAACACAGGGATAACGGTAGAGAAGCAAGAGAACCTCCACTGTTGATGACATCATGGAACCATAGGATGACCTCAAGGCAATTTGAATTGAGTTTTTTGTTAACTTGCAAATCAAAGCTTTGTAACTGAATAAAGGCTCGGTTAACATTAGTTGGTAGTGCCTGTGATGATGGTTGTGGATACTTGAGACACTCCTGCTTTCTCAACCTGGGAGCACAATAATCCCACCATGTGGCCCTCGGCCAGCCATTAGTTCACCTGGGAAACCACTGGCCACATCTATGGGAGGTTTTAGAAAGAGGTCCCTAGAGACTTTGTCTTGCTTTGAGACACTGTAGAAGTACAGGATTTGTATGCTTTCAAAAATAAGAAAGAGCTGAATTCAAGGATATTGGCACGTAGAGAAAATATCTGGAGCTCACCTATACACATCTATTTTTGTGACTCATATACAAGTCTTGTTCTTGATTTCACTTTCACCCATCCACAGAATGGGAATCTGTGCCTCACATACTGAAGTCAAACACCAATTTTTGCTCTGTTTTCATCTTGATGCTAGCTGCTTCCTGAACCGTTCCCAGCGAGCCCAGACACCACAGGGCCATCAGCTTAATCATGTTATACTGCTGACTCTTGAGTCACTGATGAGTAGCAGACGGAGCTGAAGCCAGCTGAATCTAGAGGTGCTACGATGCTGAAAGAGTCACCAGATCTGCCTCCTGCCAGCAATGTTTTCTGCTATGGAACTTGTGAGGGACAGAAGAGTTTCCCAGCCCCTGTCAAGATGATAACATTAACTAAAGTTATCGAAGTTGTCACAAAGCTTCTAGTCAAGCTTAATTTCTGCCACCTGAAATTCAAAATCTAAGGCTATTCTACAATCTTTACATTTGAATTATTTTTTCTCTTAAAAACTGGGCATGTTGGTGGGGTTTTTTTTGGTTTATTCTTCAGGTTTTTGATTTTGGTTTGGTTTGGTTTTGGTTTTTTGTCCTTAAGCTTTGTAAATAAGTTTTCCTATGCCTGCTTGCCTGTAACTTATTTTTCTGGTATAATGACTTTTTAAAAATGAGTTCAGCCTGTGCTTTCTTGTACAAAAAAAAAAAAAAAAAACCGTGGGAATGTGAGTAGCATATTAATTAGCTATCAGATTTAGCCTGGTTTTTGAAGTCCAGAGCTTTGGGAGGTTACCAAAGTGTAAATATAATCATGACTTTCGCACGTGGTTGTAATTGCATCACAGTAAAGCCTCAGGGGACCTCCCTCCCAGGATTCTGCTATCCCCAGCCCCCAAATGGCTCTGTCATTAATGGTCAGTTTGGGAGGGCACAAGTCCCAAGGAAATGACTTCCTGTTTTGTTCTAAGTGGCGTTCCCTGCTAACCCTCCTCACCTTTGAACTTCCTGTTTTGGAATGGAAAGAGTGACCCTTCTCTCCCACCTCTTCACAAGGTAAGGAGAAATAAGGCAAAAGTAATAAAGGTCCTCTGGAGATAAACTGACTTTTTTTGTTTGTTTGTTTTACTACCCCCACACTGTACCAAAGTATACCAAATATTTTCTGGCCTTCAAATCATAAGCCTAACTTCTGCTGCAAAACTGCATGGGCACTCAGGCTGATCTTCCTTACCCCACAACTTAACATCCACCCTCTCTCTCACGTTTTCTAAGTACATCTCTGCACTGTCCCTGGACCAGGCTCTGGGGTCCCAGAGGTGAAGTGGAGGAACTCAGTCTGGTTAAGAAGAGACCCCCATGAATAGATCAAGCTCTCCAAGAATGGCTGTAAGTTTACATGGAATATGGACTCTGAGTAGTAAGTCCGGGAAGTAAATCACAGAAGCCTTTGGACTTTGTACACCCGTGGGCAGCTCCCAAGGGAGGAGGGAAAGGCTTTGCAGGAGAATGGCCACCTCTGATAGGCGGGCATCGGCCTGCTTTGCCACTTCACCCTACGCTGCCCTGTGACTGGTCTTTGCACTGTTACTGATAATGTTTTTTTTTTTTCTTTGAGACAGAATCTCACTCTGTTGCCCAGGCTGAAGTGTAGTGGCACCATCTTGGCTCACTACAATCTCTGCCTCCTGGGTTGAAGCGATTCTCCTGCCTCAGCCTCTTGAGTAGCTGGGACTACAGATGCACGCCACTACACCCAGCTAATTTTTGTATTTTTAGTAGAGATAAGGTTTGCCACGTTAGTCAGGCTGGTCTCGAACTCCTGACTTTAAGTGATCAGCCCGCCTTGGCTTCCCAAAGTGTTGGGATTACAGGCATTAGCCACCGCACCTGTCCAACCACTGATAGGTCTTGTGAGTCAGCTCTGCTGTTTCTGAAAGGATGTTTTCCCAACCTCCTACTTTACGTTTTTTGTTTTGGAGACAGGGTCTCTCTGGTTTTTTGGGTTTTTTTTTTGAGACCATCTGGCTCTGTCGTCCCAGGCTGAGTGCGATGGCTCGATCTCCTCTCACTGCAACCTCCGCCTCCCGGGTTTAAGCGATCCTCCCACCTCAGCCCCGGAGTAGCTGGAAACACAGGCGTGCGCCAACAGGCCTGGCTAATTTTTGTTTTTTTTTGTAGAGATGGAGTCTTACTATGGTGCCTAGGCTGGCCTTGAACGCCTGGGCTCAAGCGATCCTCCCAAAGTGCTGAGATTACAGCATGAGCCAGCACGCCAGGCCCAACCTCCTACTTTCCTGAAAGTGTGGGCACTTCCAACACGAGGAGTAAGTGAACCGGCGTTCGCGTGACAAACCCGCCCCAGCGTCGCCCGGGGTCCGCAGGCTGCTCTCGTCGTTCTCTGCCCCAGAGCCAGCATTCTGAAATGAAAGGGGACGTGGGTGTAGGATAGAGGCTGGCAATTCTGAATCGGTACACACAGCATGAAGAGGCTCTTTGGAGAGTGTGGGTCCTTAAGATTCCCCCTGCCCATGGGGAGGTGGACTATCAAAAGATCAAAAGAGCTATCCAAAACCAGGCTGAAGACTGGAGGGAAGCTGGCCCGCCTCGGCTGCAGGACAGGTGCATCCAGACTACATTAGTGGAGTCCACCGCCTTCTTTTACCCCAGGCAACGCCCTAAAGAACGCGTCGGGACCTCGGTTCGCGGACTCGAGGAGTGAACCGACCGAGCGCTGTGCACAGAACGGTCGGTGGGGGACACGATCGAGCGCCACCGGGGCTGGGAGACCGCGGCCCCCGGAGGTCGGCGAGGCGGGGACGGCCCGGAGCTCCTCCCACGGAGGCGGGGGGGGTCACGTGGCAGTGGCGCCGCGGCGCGCGAGGTGGCGCAGGCGTGAAGTTGCGCAGGCGCGGAGCCCCTCCCCTGGGACCCTCGGGCCGGGCGGTTTGGCCTCTCAGCGCCCGGGCGTCCGGGCGGGAGAAGGCCGGCAGGAGGGCGGCACTGCGGGTAGGTGCTGCGCTACCGGCTCCGCGAGGCACGTGATGTCCGTAGGCCGGGCTTGCTGCGGCGTAGGTGGGGAAACTGAGGCAGGGCAGAACCGGCGGCGCGCGGTAGGATAGGTGCCGGGCTGGTGAGGCGCGCCCCTTGGGTCCGCGCCAGGTGCCCTAGGAGCCGCCGCGGTGCCGGCGCTCTCTCGGAGGACGACGCATTCCCCCACCCTCCTGTGCGGCTGCGGGTGGAAAAACCCCGCGCCCAGACTTCGGAGACCCGAGGCGGGGGCGGGGCGGGGCGCTGCTGCGGCGGGCTAGGGTCCCCTCCGTCCCCGCCCGCAAGCCTTGAGTAACGCGGGTGGCTCCGACCTTCGCGAATTGTTGGGACAAAGAACTGAGAAGAGGGCTCTGCCCTGGAGCGTGGCCCCGGGGGCGTACCGGCTAGCCCCAGGTACCGACCTGGCTGTCCTCGCCCCTGTGCCCGTTTAGGGTCGTGTCTTTTAAGATGGCGCGTTTTCTAGCTTTGTTCGGCGTCTCGGTGGCACCTGTTCCCCCTCTTTCCCAAGGGTCTCAACCGCCCGTCTTTAAATTGGGTAGAGCCCAGTTGTACATTTCACAGCCCCGCTCAGGTCTGGAAATGAAAAGATGAGCAAGGTACCAACTGAACAGGCTGCCCCCAAGGTTGTTGCTGGAGCGGGCGGTGAAGGCGCAGGTGGAGATCGTTAGAGGAAAAGAACTTAACGCTCAGTAGGGCCAGGGCTGTGGGGAGGGAGCACCCGGGAGTCCACGCCGGACCGGGATTCACAGCTGCTCCTGCGCCTCTTTTCCTTACTACGCCATGCTGTCTCCACAGCCCAACAACCCAGAACTCAGCTTGGATTTTTTCGTTTTATTTTAATGTATTTTCCTTTGAACCTGGCAGGTGGTTTTTTAAAAAAGAAAATAATCAGGATTTGTTTTGAAAAGCATTGTGAAGGAGTCAGCTTGAATAGTCTCCAGTGCTCCTGCGTGGGCCCAGCTTTGAAGAATGAGAATTGGGATTCCGACAGCAGACCCCAACTCCTTACCATACTCATTCATCAGAAAACTCTCCATTTTGTGTACAAATAACGTTTTGAGGGCAATCATTGTTCTAGAAATGAGGGAAAATTATACTTCGTATTTATTGCACTTTTTGTACGGTACTTCACAGGGCACCTCCTATACATTTAATCCTTTGATTCTTGCAACTCTGTAGAAGGTAATAAAGGAATCATTCCCATTTTACTGATGTGAAACAGTTCCTTGTCCAGGTTTATATGGCTTGCAAGAAGTAAAGGTACATCTTAGGTATTCTTGATTAGGTCTTTCCTATGTCCCTCTCTTTTATAAGGGCATACCATTTAGTTGAGACTTTCTGTGTTACTCCTGAAGGGGTACAAAAGACATTTCTGATAATTGTCTCATCATTTTGTGTCATTTAAATGGTGCTCAGAAAGTCTGGATAGGATTGGAACTCTGTGGCTCAAGCCGCAGGCTCTGTTCCTAAGAAATAAGGCATCTGTCCTGCTAGTTGGGTTCTTGCCTCTTTGTGAAATGTTGAGCAGAAACTCCAAGTCATCTTCTGTGGAGGCTTGTATGGCAAGAACCATCCCGAAGTGCTTCGGAGGGAGCCAGCCTCACCTCTGAGCTCAGTGGCCTCTGGCACAGGGAAATTACAGCTGGACCTTTGCCTTCTCTGGCACTGCTAGTGCAGGAGGCAATGTTGGTTGCTGCAGGAGTAGCATGCTGGCCAGAGGGGCTGAGACAAGCGTGTTCCCAACAGACCTCGAACGTTTACCAGAAAGCAGGCCTGTAGTGACACAGCTGCAGAAGTTCAGTATTTTGTGTCTGTCCTACTTTAGAGGTCCTGTCTTCATAGGGATGTGAGTGAATCTGAGCCCTGCAAAGAAGAGAAAGGTAATGCTGCTTTACAGTTCTCTAGTGCGTTGCTGCATTGCATGTTGCTGCTCACGTATATTCTTTATGACAACTCTTTAAAGTGCCCTTGTTTTTAAGAAGACACTGAGATTCAGAAGGATGAGATGAACTCTCAAAGTTAAAGAGAGAAAAAAAACAGCATTTTTTGGCTTTTAGCCCATGGTTTTTTGTGGTGTTGCCCTTGTCTTCCTATCCACACACCCATATAACTTGATGGAGCTGGTGTTCTGAGCCCCGACAGGAGACGTGCAAATGAGAGTAGAAAGGCTTGCGCTTTGGGGAGCCCCTGCAGCTTGAGCATGACTTAGAGGAAAAGATCCTTCCCAGCCCCCACATTCCTCACTCTTGGCTATATCTCAGGGTTTCACAGTAGCTGATTGTGTCCTTTTGTTCTGCTTTCAGCATCTATTCAGAGGTTTCTGAATCTGGCATTTGAGAATAGGGCTGGGCCAGAACCAGGCAGACACACACCCCAAGGAGCAGAGCTGAGTGTTGGAGACTGAGGCAGATAGATGAGAGCTCATTGAAAGTGACTAGTTTTGTGGTGTTTGAAGACAAGAATAGGTGGAAGCATATCTGTTGCTCATGAGGCCCTGTGTGCCTGCATCATCAGTCTGCTAGACAAGAATGGACAGAGTCTTGTTAACTATGGGGAGGAGAGGAGCAGAGTGGCTTCTCATCTGAGACTAGGCAATGAGATCCTTAAGAAGACATTTGGCTTCAGATTATAAGCTGCTTACCAAGGATTGGGCTTGGGAGAGGCTGATGTTCTCTCCAGGCAGCAGATTTCCCAGGCTTGTTTAGGTGCAGTCTTGCTCCTAGCTTGCCTGAGGCTAGTGAATAGGCTTCAAGACCTGTAGGGGCCCACTTCCTAATCCCAGACTCTCATGCCGTTCCAGCATCAGAGGCCACTGGCCTGTGGCTGGATGCCCAGGACCCAGAGTGTCCGATGCAGGATAGACAGTCATGGACTGGAAGTTGGAAGACCCAGACCTGAGTCCCAGCACAGCCACTGACAACCTGCCCTGCCCATGTGACCTTGGACTAGCCAATCTCTTCTCTGAGCCTTAGTTTCTTCATTTGCACAGTAAAAGAGGAGCTGAATTAGAGCTTTGAGGGAAGGAGAGGAGACCAGAGGAGGAAGATGAAGCCTCCTTTCAAGCCTGTTCACTGAGGGCCCGAGGCAAGGAAGCTCACGTGCACTGTTAGTTTTTTGTCTCCCTCAGCACCATTTCTTGCTTCTCCCCTGTCTCTGCCTCAGGCCAGCTCATTCTGAAGAGGGAAGATTCCCTGGGTGGGGCTGGCCTAGGCAGGTGTACCCTTGATGTTCGAATATGATGCTGTCTCTACTTGTTTCAGACATGAATTAACCCACCCAGTGCTGATACTTTGTTTCATTAAGACTTCATCAGTTCCTGTCCAGTGGCAGCTCCTGGAACAGTTGGGAGTTAGGCCCAGGGAAGGAGGTTGTGTGAATGTGCGCACCCAGCAGGAGAACGGTGGTGGCAGGGGTCCCCATGGCTTTCTGGACATCAGATCCCTGTAGTTGCCATCACATGGTACTTCAGAATCTTTGGATGTCAGAGCCGAGACAATCTCATAGAATTTCAAGTTCCTTCCTCTGTCTATACAGATGAGATCCAAGCCCTAAGTGTCTTAGCTTATGTCAGATCGCCCTGCTAGTGAGCAGTAGAGTGAGAACCCAGCCTAAGGTTACCTAAGTCCCAAGCTAGATTGTTTCCTTTAATGTCAATCCAGCCCTGTCCAAAATTACCTTTCATACTGAGCTGAAATTGGAATTGAGTAGCTATAAGTTCCAAGTCTGCCTCACTGTGGAATTCTAAGAGTAAAATTCAGATCATTTCATTAACATTTAATGCCTGGTAATTACCAGGATCTGTGTTGAGTGCTGGGGATGGAAGAATGAAGATGACAATGCATTGTGCCACTGTGTTGTGGAGACAGACATGTAAATAACTAAAATTTACAAAGTCCATTTGTACATGATGCAGGGTTGTGAGTGTGTGCGCACACGCATGCATGCTATAGAAGAGGTGAATGAGCAGTCAGTTGTTGGGGCTTTCAGGAAGGGCTTTGGAGAGAAAGTGTTATGCCTGTCGGGCCTTATGAATAAGTAGGCATTTATATGATTGACATGGGGTGGGAGGGATGGCATCTCAGGCAGAGGAAACCACATGAGCAACACTTGGACAGGGAGTGGTCTGGCAAGGGTGCTGCAGTGGCAGGGATAAGGCCAGAACGGTGAGCCGAAGCCAATCTGTGGCGGGCACATCAGGTGGCATGCTGAGGAGTTTCTTGTCACCAAGAGTCTGAAAGTGAGAGAAAGACGTAATCAGGTTGGGGGTGCTGGGATCGCTCTGGCTACAGCATGGAAAATAAACTATAGAGGACCAGACTAGAGCCAAGCCAGGTTCAGTTCCGTGGTTCTTGAAATACGTTAGGTACAGAGTTATAGGGTCCTGGGTTTGGACAGCAGCGGTGAGGTCGAGAGGAGGATGCATAGCATATACATTTTAGAAGATGGACAGAACTTCCTGATTGAGTCGAGGTGGGAGTGAAGGCAAATGAAAGGTCAAATGTGACCCCCCAGTTTCTAGCTTGAGCAGTTAACTGGCTGCTTGTGTCATCCACTGAGCCAGGGAACTCCAGCAGAGAAATCAACTTTAGTTTTGGACATGGTACAACAGAGATAACTACAAAACCCCAAGTGGAAACTTTGGCTCAGGAACAGCAATAGGGACTTGGAAGTCATCACCAAAGTGGTGGGTGAAGTGCTGAAGTAGGAGAAGTCACCCAGGAAGGGAGTGTGGGTTGAGGGAAGCCACTGATGTGGCAGAAAATGGAGGGAAAGCAGGTGAGGGGCCTCAGGTGCCAGCTGACTTTCCAGGCCTGGGGTAAGGAATGGGTCAAGGGAACAGGCTGCATAAGGAGCAACAGGGAACGGGATGTCTTCTTTTATTTCCACTAGTGTGACATGTGGGCTGTGTTACGGGCTTTGCTTCTTTAGCCTGCACTAGATAGCAGAGAAGGAGTCTA